AGGGCCCGCAGCGCTCACCGGCTGCACCCAAGAACGCCAACAGTGGCCAGCGAGAGGGGAAGGAGAAACTGGTGGGCTTTCATGAGTCTGTGCGCTCAAAAGGCAGAACTGAGACAAGACCAATTTGCCCAAATCAGATGGTGCCTTTATACAAAGGTGGAGAAGCGAAGCAACAGCCTAGGATCTGGAACCCAAGCATCCTGAGCAAAAAACACAGAGCCAAGATGGGGTAGAGAGCCCCAACACCACACCATGTTTCTTCAGCCCCTGGGCTGCCAATTTGCAGCCATAGAACGTCACCTATCCTGGGGGTGATGCGAATAAATTCACTCAGGTGTAGGTTTCACAGCAAAACAAAACTGAACCAAAAGAAAATGGTTTTAAACCTGGCACCCTGCAGGCCAGCACGGGGGTGGGGTGGAACTTCGCTGGGGTAAATGCAGGCAGCAGGCAGCAGTAGAAGGGCTTTCGGCACGCTTAACCCCCTTCCCTTTCCAGGAAGTCGCCGTTAGTCAGTACTCTAACTCAGTTTGTTCTGTTCACATGCTGTTCTTCCTTTACAGCTTCAGTGAAGTAGCTGGGCCCAGACTGGGGAATAACCAAAAGGATCACTTGCAATGATAGATATCCTATACCTGTCTGTGATGCTAAATTCACACTAAAGTAATTTACCTGCATCATTTCTTTCCAGTTCACACCATCACCAAGAAGCCTATGTCTTGGCATGATAATATAGAGGAACCGGCAGATGGTAAGAAATCTCTGAATGGCTTGTGGTAATTACATAAGAAAATGATTAATAAACAAGATTTAAAAATTCCAATTAGTCTAAAAGATGACAGATAGGGAAACACCCCTGTGACAACAATAAATTCATTGTTTTTGTTACATGCAAGGCTTTTTTTTTTTTTTCTACTTTTAGGCCCTTTCCCATTACTTTTCATTATCAGTACAAGCTTGCATTCATGCAGTTATGCTTTTATTTTTCTTTTTAGTTATCATACTACAAAGTTCTGCTTGAAAATCTAAACCTTTTTCAGAGGAAAACAAAAAAAATCTAGAAACATGTTTTGTACACAGATGTTGCCTGTTATTGCAGATTCTACCCAACTACTGCATACAGTAGACTGCTGAAATGGCTGCTGAGCCTTGCTTTAGAGCACCAATAACAAGAACCCTTATAGCAACTGCTCCCTTATTTCTAGCATGCCAATTTTGTCTAAAAACCTTAATGATCAGTTAAGGTTGGCCTGCTCTAGTCAAGGGGTGGGGGAAGAAAATCAAAACAAGCCAGGGGGTCTCAGGCAACTGACAAAAATGACAGCTAACGTGGAGCACTGGTTGATACTACATGTGGTATAAGGAAAGTAAGATGCTGCAATACAGCAGACAGGGATGACAGAATTAACAGGACAGTATAGGCAGGCAAATCTTGAAACTTCATCAGGACAAATTTGAGTAGAAACGTCATTCTCTTGCACGATCATTCACAGAAGCACAGAGCTTGCCTCCAACCTTCACTTTCTTGCTATTGCTTGGGCAGCATTAGGATGTCCCATTCTAACACACATCCACAGGTGACTTTTTTTTTTTAAACACAGTTTCTTTCATTTCTGTTTGTGTCTCTTAAACCAACAGCCAAGTTTCTGAACCTTATTCACCATGCAGCACTGGAGCCAACAAAGAAATATTCAGAGCCGCAAACTGAAAGCCAAGAAATTGGCTGGAACACAACACCTTTGGTGAGTAGGATGCTTAATGACTCAGCTCTTTTGCAGGATTCAGAGAGGTTCAGCCCATCACATTGAAAGATATTCACGGAAGAAAAAAATTTGTGACAAGCATGGAAAACAGGAATGACTAGAAATGAGCAGAGCTGTTTGTGGACAAGAAGTTTTTAAAGTTAACACCTAAGAGAACTCCACATTGGCACAGGCTTGTGAACGCAGGAACAGTAAGCTGCCCCTGACAAACTTGCATGCAAAATATCTACAATGACAGTGGACCCCAAGCATACTGCCAAACGCCACATATGTAGTCACGGCTGTTTATTAAAGCATTCAGCCATGAGAAATGGCGTAGTGAGCAATGTGAAGTGACATACATAAGTACCGTGAAAAGAAATGTGCTGCTGTACAGCATCTTTCAAGCAAATCGTAAGCAGAACCATAAAATTAATAATCAGCTAAGTAAACCCGAGGCAGAATACACCAGTGAGGATTCATCTAGGGAAGCGTGAATAAACAGGAGGAAAAGAAATCTTATTAACAAGCTGAGACATCAATTATATCTCTGACAAACTAATAGCTGTGACGATGACTGACTTCGTAGATTAGTATTTAGAGAAAGGCAAGTGAGGGCCTGATTAATTTTAGCCTGTTACAAAGAAAACTAAGATAAATAAGAAAATAAAATATAATCTTCTGCAACTTTTTGTATTACACTTCAGGTAAACTGGTTACTCATGACAAGGCTCAAGACAGACATCCCAGGAGGGCTTTATGCCGTTAAGATACCGGTGGTAGGATCAGGCTGGCAGGAAAGAGGCAACTAAATTTGCACATAGGGAAGCGAGTTAAATTTATAATCGGGACTCATGATACTGTTTCATACGTTAAGTTTTCCTTTTTCACCAGGTTCTACCGTAATGAAGCAGTGAACAGCATATTCTCAAATATGTGGTACCCTACTCATTTGTCATTTGGGCATTTCTCAGCAGCAAGAACACCATGCATCACTCTTCTTAGGAGGGACTGCTACCACTCACTCTAGTAAAAAGCACATGACTATTCATCATTTTTCTTTCCCAGATTCATGTGGACCGTAATGATTGCAGATTCTACTTCCCACGCCGGAAAACAGAGATCACTAAATAAATGGCTGCCACAGGGGCACGAGGAGGAGCAGTCTGAGAATCTGCAGCAGCAGAGCGGCAAAGCCACACAACTTTGATAGAAGCAGTTAACGACATCTAATGTGTTAGGCCCTGCTTGTTATTAGTTGAGTCTGGTAGATTTCTGGCAAGAGAAGACAGTGAGAAAAGGGAAGAGAGAACCTCAGTTGCAGCCTGACAATAGTTACAGAAATAAACCTATTTATAAGATTGCTGCATTTGTCTCACTGCTCTTTCCAAACCCATCTACATGAATAGTCTAAAAAACACTTTTAACATCTCAACAGGCTTCAGACTTCCTATTCTGACATCGACAACATGACCCAGAACTCAAGTTCACCAAGTACATGTCAACAGTAGCTGTGGAAAAAGCTGTTGGAATGAAGGGAACAAAGGGCAGACTTTAGCCACCATCCATAGCACAGCTAAACATGAATTCAACACGGTTCTGTGCAAACCATTTAATGCGTTCACACACCAAAGGTTTAAGTAGAAAAAATCCTTCAACAAAACAGACAGTAAGAAGAAATTAGTGATAAGGCACTAGTTTCCACTGACTTTTTTTCTTGCCACTTGGAAGCATCCAGCTTGCTCCACGGTTGACTGCTTGATGACAGCAGAAACACATCTTGCCACACATAGAAACGCAAGAACCCCACTGGGGAGCACAGTCCTCTTATCGCGCTCGGCTCTTCATTTTCTGCCTTGCTCTCTTTCCAGGTCTCTTCTGTAAAAAAGGACAGATTAAGATCTTTATTTTCATGTCATCAATCTTTGTTCTAGCTCTATAGCTTGGGGAGGATATCAAGGTGAAGATATTTCTCAGTACCTCTGGAGAGGGAGGTTTGGGGACACAGGTAGCAACAAACAGTACTTGCTAATTCCCCCACCCATTTCCCTGCTCAGACACCGAACCACCGTCCTCAACTCTGTCTGCAACTGAATTATGCTCAGCTCCCGAAGACAGACACTGTCACTTCCAGATGCTGGAGGCACCCATCATGTACTCAGCTCTCCCTCCCAGACCAGGGCAGACCTCCTAGCCAACGAGGATCATTTGCATGCAACATTTCACTTACATTGAGGGCTTTTTTTCCTCCTTTTCCTGCTTTTCCTGGGCCTTTGTTGTGAGCCACTTTTGCCCGGAAGCTGGACACATCATTAAAACTCTCCTTTGTGTTCCACTTTGAGCCCTTCTTCTTCCCACCAAAACCAAACTTCTGATTCTTGTATCGTCTTTTAGCATTTGGCCTGAAAAACAACCGAACAGCATCATTGCCTATATTCCTTTCCTCGGGAAGCTCTCAAGAAGGCACAGGTATCTGCCAATGGACTCTCATCAGCCATCATAAACCTTTCCCCTCTTATCAAAAAGGCAGAAATTAGCACATTTCAGTCTCCATTCCATTCTGGGCATAGATTTCGTCCTCTGTAGGGACAGAAAGCCACCTCAGGCTTATTTTAATGAACATTAATCAGAACAGCTTTCTTGTTCCACAAAATGATCCCCTAAAAGACTGAAAAAATCAGACATTCTGCATTTAAATATCTTTCTTTTCTGGTCTCACCCTTTCTTTATCCGTTGACTTGCACTGCCTTTTTTATTCCCCTGAGACGATGTCTGCTCTTCATCTAGAAAATCCAGCTTGTCAGAGAGACCTGCAAGAGTGAAGATGTAACAGTTGCTCAGCTACCACCACAGAAAATATGAATCTTCAGTCTAAGCAAGTAATAGCACAAGTCACCCTCACTGAAGAACAGCTACTCTGGAGGATTTTCAGTGCCACTGGCATATGACTCTGCACAACAGCAGCCTTTCAAGCTCACTGCCCAGCACTGCAGATTGACACCGCACATCACACTGCCTTACACTGCTCACACATCACTATTCCCATTACACGTTTGCTCTCTTAGAGAAGTTCACTTTACCTTTCTGGTATTTCTTGACTGCATTCAACATATTTTTTTTCTCCTTTTGTCTCCTCTGCAGAATCTCAGTTTGCACCTGAGATTAGAAGCAGAATGTTAGTGTTCCTTGTAGTGTCCCATACTTTTTTTTTCTCCATGCCCCCCCCCCCTTTTTTTTTTTTTATGGTAACCCATCTTTTGCTCTGTCTTCCTTCAAAGCGGCTAGACAGAAGACTAGACAGACTCCATGTATTTTATCCAGGCTCCTGTGGTCTCACTTTCTAAGCTCCTCACTCAGGCTCTAGATTCTTGTCATAGACAGGTCCCTCCTGTAGCTTCTCCTCACCTTCTTGCCATATTTTCTCATTGCACGGAGCTGTTTCGCTTTCTCAGACCTCTCCATTGCTTCCTGTTTACTCTTAAGCTTCTGTCGAATCTTATTAGGGAATAGAAAAAACAAGATTTATCAGTAACAAAAGAAAATATGAGAATTTTATGTTTGCTGTGCAGTCCTGAAATCATTAGTTATGCAAACTATCAATGAGTGTAAAAAAGGAAACCTCTCTCAATCAGATAATGCTTTATAAGGCATAACGTTCTTTCAACCCAAGGCTGGAACAGTTATGACAGAAACTCCTGAACTGATCTGTAGCCAAAATCTGGTTAAAAAGACAAAACTCACACAGAGACAAGACAAAGCCTTGTAATGGGCTCTCATGGAACTGCTAAACAAGACTATCTCGTCACACCTTGCCAGTCTACTCAGGCGTATGTAGAAGACTTAACAGTTTCTTTCTTGTCATTATTAAAAGTAAAGCACTGAAGGAGAGTCAACAACCCTTCCACACCACAGAAAACTTCTTTTTCATTCTGTCCTTGTTCACAAACATTTCTGTAAGGTTGCCACACTACAGGTGATTACAAAGATTTCAATACAGATCTTCTGGATTTAGTCTGTGACTCCACTAGGAGACAAAAACTCTGCTCTTCAAACAGAAGCCAGCAAAAGAAGACAACAGTAATGTGCAGAACTGACTTAAGCCTCAGCACAAGCTAATTATTACTCTTCATCCTTTCTAGGAAGATTCATCAGCCATCAAAACAGTGACCAAGGCATACACGAACCTGCAAATTAGACTCCAGCTCATGTTTGTTTAACTTATACGATGTAGTCTTTTTTCCAAAACTAAAGCAAAAATTAGGGTTCCGTTTTGAACAAAGACCACAATCAAGAAGCAAGTTTGTGAAATTCTTATTTCCTACACAAATCTGACTTACTACCCATAACAGATTAATTCAATAACACACAGTTTACAATCAGAGAGAACCAAAACACACTGAGTCCAAACAAAGGCTGATACTTAAATAGGGAAAAAGGATCATGTTAATGCCACATCTGACTGCAAGTCTTGGGCCAAAGAGCATGAACACAGCCAACTTTACAACCACTGTCACACATACGGTGAAAAAGTCTCCATTTTTAATATTAAAGTACATTCAGGACAGAATATAAATGGTGCTTTTCTACTTTACGTTCCAACCTGTTACAGAAATCCCCACATTGCACTGAAATACCTACACAGGAAATTTCCTGCCACAAACAAAATTTCAAACACAAACATTGTCACAGACATTTGTCAAAGAGACAAAGGTAAGTGTTCACAAATGACAACTCAAATTTAATCCTAACACAGGCTAAAACCAACACATAACACAGGAAAGAAAGCCATTTTTCACCGCACATACCTTCTGCATCTGTTGGTCTGATTTGGCCATCTCTGCAAAGTAATCATCTGGCCTTCTAGTAGGAACTTGAAGCTTACGCAGCTTAGGTAGGGCTTCCAGGACTGCTGCCTGAGCCTGCCGGTAGCTAGGGAGACAGCACCACTCTGTCACTGGGTATCGGGCATTGCACAGCACTGACAGAAAGTCTGCTTGTGTAAGCTAGCCGATACTGAGATCTAACAAGCATCAATCTAGAGTGATATCAAAATTCTGTGCCCTGCACCATTCAGCGCTACTAAAAGCGATTTAGGTGCCAGTACAATATTAACGATTATATCTTGCTATACATTTACGTAGTTTCCAGTTGCAGTTTTGTATGTTGTATTGCAAAAGGAAAGGCAAAACACGAGAACTGTAATAACACCAAGAAAAATTCATACCCTGCATTAAAGCAATAGTGCTGCAACCAAGGCACTTTTTAAATAAACTTTTTGGCAAAGGATAGAAGTCTGCTGCAAGGAGGGAAATTATTTCCAGTCACAAGGCAAGTTAAATACACTAGCGATAATTTGTAGTTATTTTGGAAAACATTTGGAGCCATCAAATGTAAAATACACAGCCCAAGAGTGACATGACACCGGAGACAGCCATCGTGGCAGTCTGCAGCACACCTGCATGACTCCAAGCACGCAGCAGCATCCTGAGATCCTAGAAAAAAATCTCCGTTTTTGACACTTACAAACTCATCTCTCTCTGGAAATCATTCTCGGGGTCGACAGCATCTTTGTTAGAAGCGCTCTGTGAGACGGGATCCGCGACCTGGCCCGAAGTCACATCCAGCCTTTCCACCCAAGCTAGCTGCTGCTGCTTGAATTCGGACAGGCACTGCTTCAGGCCTTCCTATGGAAGGAAGCACAGCTCCGCACACCGCCACACGGAACCACCTCCCCACGGCGG